CCGCGATGATGGCGGGCGGAGGACCGACCAACTATACTGAGTGGAGTACAGCTGTGTAGAAGCCGAGCGGTTTCTATATTCTCGACCATAGCCGCGTAGGTATAGGCTGTAAGCCCGTCGTGGCTCGTCTTGCTCGCGTCAGCCCCGCGCTCTAAGAGTTCCCGCGCAACGCCAAGATCTCGTTGCATAGCGGCGTACATCAGTGCAGTCATGCCCGACTGGGTACCTGCATTGCAATCGGCACCGTGGTCTAAGAGCGCTCGCACGCAGGCGCTGCTGCCGGCATACGATGCCTTATGCAACGGGGTCTCTGACGTTCGATCCCGAGAATTAACATCTGCACCTCCATCAATCAGAATATGGAGGGCCTCGGTATTGGCATGCTGCGCTGCAAGATGCAAGGGTGTAGCGAAATCCAGGTTCGGCGTGTCAGACTCCGCACCGACCAACAACAGCTGGCGAATGATGGAGACATCGCCTGCGGCAGCAGCATAGGCCATGGCTGTCGAACCGAAAGAATTTCGGGCCGACATATTCAAAGTGTAGCTCGAAAGCGCATGAGCCGCCGGCGCATTGCCGCATCTGACAGCCTCGATCAATGGTGTGGCGCCGTCATTGTCTATGGCATCTGCGTTGGCGCCGAAGCTGAGAAGAAGCTTAACAATGTCGGCGCTGGCTTCCTGAGCTGCAAAGTGGAGGGGCCTGGCGCCGTGCTCGTCGGAAATGTCTTTGTCTGCTTTTCCTTCCAGGAGACGTTGGCAAATTTTATAGTTGCCAGCTCTAACGGCGCAATGCAACGGCGACATATCGTCGTCCCATTTTTCGTCTGGGTTGAAGCCCGCATTTAGCAGGAGGTCGGTTGCAAGGAGTTGACCACATTGAACAGCAATTATGAGAGGAGACTGCCCCCAGCCATCAAAAATGCCGGCAAGAGGCCGCTGTAGGGCTTTGTGAGCCTTAATAGAGGCTAGAGCCAGCTCACAGTTGCCTCTCGTGGATGCCCACAGCAAAGCTCTATGCTCATGCCTCGCATCTTCAGATAGAAGAAATGCCCGAAAGTTATAGAATATGCGGTGTGCTTGTATTGCAGCGGCAATATCCCGAACAGACAAAAAAGAAAGGATAATAGACAATAGCTCAGGGGGAAGTAGTGACAAAGTCGCCATCTTGGAAAGTTGCTGCAAGATGATTCTCAAATTTGGCTGAGCGAGGCCATGTTATAATATTTGTTCTGTAGCCAGGGGTAGGTATCTGAACCCTGTCTTTGTCTCAGTAGTAATACGAAGTATTCACCCATCCTACTAAGTTGGCGGTTAGAAGCAACCAACCGTATTCATAGCCCAGACTTCAGCCGAGCAAACCACCAACCCCGGGCGGCAAGATTATGAGCGGCCCATTCGGCCCCACAGACCTCCGTTCACCACAGCACCCACTCCGATGGCCGAGACCCGTGCCAGCCTTGTTTGTGATCCACCACCGAGTTCTAACATTGGCGCTCAGCTTCACTGGGCGGTACCGTTTTCTTCATGGCCGAGCGGACGCTGTCCCGCCACCTAATTTTCAGGTACCGCGCCACCCCCCAACTCCAACGAGTTTTGCTTCCTCGTCAAATTCGTGCTTTCTCAAAAATGGGTAGGTAGTGCTAACTGAATCCAACTCTGTTGGCTCGAATAGGGGGCATTTGTGCTAGCATAAGGTACAAGGTCTACTCATCGTTACTACCAGCTCATGATAAAGCAGCATGATCTTTATAAACTTAGGCGGTTACCGTACAGCGTGTTGCCAAGCATCTACGCAATGTTTTGGTTTTACTCTTTCTTTGCCATCGTGGCCGCCCATTCCTGGGTAGAGCGTGTTTAATGAAGTGGGTAGGATGATGGGGCCGCCTGGCTACAGTCGCGGCGCCGTCGCGCGACTGGACCCGATGTTCAATGACTACAAGATGCAGCACTTATTGCCTACTGAAAATGAGAATATAGTTACAGCAGACGATCCAATTTGCAAGCAGACTCAGCCGAAAGGTAACTACTTACAAACTCTCCCACCGTTACCGGCCAAATCCGGCGCATTTATTAGCTATGATACCAGAAATGGAGGCAGACGGAACTCAATCTGAAAAGGCCAGGACTTGAACTTGGTAGGAATAGAAAGCCAGCTTAACCACTAATAAATTCATCTTTTGTCTATTGTTGCTCCCTCGGACGACGATACCGGCTGTCTTGAACCACTAGAAGAGGGGTCTGACAATGTAAGTGAATTGTCGCTGTAAAGGGCCCTAGTACTCACGAGATGACGGAGAGCGCTTATCTCTAGACCGAGTCTTCGAATCTCTTCGTCCTTGGCCAGTTTTTGCTGGCTAAGTTGGCGCTTGAGCTCCTGCATAGAAACGATTAAGGCGTAGTTCTGCGACAGAGTGGCGAGCAGCCGCTGCTGAAGCCTTCTCTGAGCGGCCCGTAATATTGCCAGCTGGCCTCGCATGCGACGATATCGACGAGGAAGCATGCTAGTCGAATAGAGCTGCTTTCGCAGTAAGACTCTCCAGTACATTTTTAAAATAAAGTAACTAGAATTGAAGAAGGTGTTTGCCTGATGCGGGAGTTAAACAAAACTGGTGGGGAGCTGGAGCGGCACGAGTGGGAAGCCTAGCATGCTGGAGGCTAGCCGTCAGGTAGGGCCCGCCACAGCGCTAGCTTCCTCCAGCGAGTGCTAGATTCGCGTACTTAGACTGGTGTATCGCCTTATCCAAAGCAATCACTGTTGATACTGCCTATTAATCATTCATTATGCCTACAGTATCTTCGCCCTTCCGGAGGCTACTTTTCCAACTCGGCTATGGCTTGGGGAGACCTCAGTCACTTATATTTATCTACGACATTTCGATTTTCCTTGATTCCTGTATTATACTGGAGAGGAGCGGTCAAATGATCGACGTACAGCCTACGAATTGGTACGGGGGAGCAGCGACGACATTCCTCGATGGCAATGAAAGAGGCTTAATATACTGGCCTGCAAGCCGAACTGACTGCCTGAGCTACTCAGGGCTTAGCGAAAGACGAGTGTATGTGTAAAAACCAAGCGTTTCTAATCAGTTCTGACCAAATTCCAAGAATACATGGTGCTATTGTCCAGTTGCTATGTCATATGCATGAAATGGTCCTTCGATGGCGCCGCCCTATA